GAAAGAGAGGGAGAGTAACATCAATGTGTGTTTGCCTCTTTCACGCCCCCTACTGAGGACCTGATCTGCAACTCAGGCATGTGCCCTGACTGGGAATTGAACCAGTGACTCTTTGGTTCACAGGCCAGCACTCCATCCACTGAGCCACACCAGCCAGGGAAGAAGGTGATATTTTAAAACAGGGGGAAAAAAAATTAAGAGACATATAAACTTAATCTAATCCAAGAGAACCAACATTCAGCTATAGGAATTTCAGAAGTAAAAACCATGAAAAAATAGAGGGGGAATGATTTTAAAAAATAGAACAAATGTTTCCAGCTGTCATACCTCCTGACGCGTCCGAGGGCTGGGTAAAGAGAACCCTTCAGAGCATCCAGTGAGAAGAGCAGACGCAAAGGAGCAAGCGGCGGTCCAGGGCCTATGGGTGCCCACGGAGAACAAAACCACCCTCCAGAAGGGAAGGGAAATGAGCTGAACCTGGACTTCAACTCCAAAGAAAATAGTCACTTTCAGACACTTATAAAAATGTTACCCATCCCAGAACCTCTCTGCAAACATTACTAAGTGATATACTCCAGGAAAAAAAAATTCTAAGAATGCAGCATGGAATCCAAGGAGCAGTACATCTAATCAGGAATGCAGTAAAGAATCCTCCCAAAGAGTAAGGGGAACAGTGGTATAAAGGCCTGGAAAATGTGTGGCACAGTCTAGAACGAGTTGTCAGAGGTTCTAAGAAGAATGTCCTCAAAATGAAAACGAATCGCCAGTTACATATAATACAGTTCTACCTAGTGATAAAGTGAGGACCTAACAACGAGACGACAAGCTGTAACAATCTGCCACCTCCTCCTGTGCTCCTTCTCCTCTCTGCTCCTGTCGGCTGAACTGTCCCTGGAGCGGGAGAGGGTAGGGACGCAAGACCTACTTCTTCACGGGAGGTCCAACTACACCACTCGGATGCTGCATCCTGTACATGCTGATTTCAAACGGACTGAGTGAACATGTGGAGACTAAGCACAAAAAGATTATGTTGTAGGTACAGAGCAGAACATAAATGCTGTAAGCCCTGTAAAAGAAAAGGTAAGACAACTCTGGCCAACTAGCTTAATCGGTTAGAGCATTGTACTGATATGCAAGGTTGCAGGTTCAATTCCCAGTAAGGGCACACATAAGAATCAACCAATGAAACCATGAACAAGGGGAAAAACAAATCGATGTCTCTCTCCCTCTCTCAAGAAAAAAAAAATCAATAAAAAGTTTAAAAATCAATAGAGAACACAAAAGTGAGATTTTGTAAACTTCCAAGAGTTCCTGTAAGAAGTCAGTTGATTCCTCCTCTTAGCACTGCACAGGCCTCGCCACTTCCTTGCACACGTCTGTCGGTCACTTGTTCTCCCTACAGCTGGGGGAGTCTTAGTCTTCAGAGGCTCCCTCAAGTGCTTCTTCTTCCTGGTCCTTGACCAAAAGAGAGAGACCAGTGACCCTGGCCATCTGACACTGCCTTAGGAACGCTCTGAAGAAGGAACGCCCTTTCCCACAGTGAAGCAGGCCACCCCCCCCCCCCACACACCCCGGCCTCAGTTCAGGAAAGCCCTGCTGGCCTCGGAAGGGCAGCGGTCTCAAGACGAGGGGCACACGTGGGAGCGGCAAGGCCCGGCGGCACCACTGCCCGTCTGCTCCTGGACACAGGCCTGGTGGTTAGCCCCAGGAGCGGCTCCCACGGCCCCTCTTTTTTTGCTTTGCAGCTCGCAGAAAATTGGAATGGAAGAAGTGAACCTACCACTGATAGGGGACTTAAGAGTTGGAAAATTTTAGTTTAAGTAAAAGCTAATAAACTTAGTAATCAATGCATATAAAAGCTTTTGCTTCAGGAACTGAAGGTATGACCCACCCTGACTCCAGGGGACCACCTTTGTGCTGCAGGAGGACTGCAAGCCATCAAGATGGTATCTGAGCCATTGTATTCCAGGGTGAGATGACCACTGCCCAGGACACAACCTGAGACCACTGCCTGGGGCACAGCTTAAGACCACCGGCCAGGGTGAGAATGCTGCAGTTGTTTTTTTTTAATCCAATTAACTTTTCCCTGAATTACAAACCCCTTACCTACACTTTGTTCTCCTTATAAAAAGGGCCATTTTAAAATGGAATTTAAGAAACCTGCCTCTTCTCAGATCGCCGGTCATTTGAATAAAGGGCCCATAAAGATTCAATCCCTGTCTCTGCTTATTGGGTCTGGTAGTGACAGGCAGCCCGAACTCTGGTATCTTTTCTGGTTTCACCTCTAATGACCCCCCACCTCCTCATTAAGTCACAGCACAACTGATGTCACAGACAGCCCAGGGCCTCTCACCAACTACTGACTACTGCTCTGCCTCTTGAACAGCTCCTGAAAGCTGCAACAGCTCCCAGAGAGGAGAGCAGACAAACAGAGAAGCATGGTCCCCTTCTTCCTTTAACTATGTTGATGAACAACAGATCACAAGGATCCAGATTTTAAATCCCAGCCTCGGGATTCTTCCCACTGTTCACATGTCCTTCCAGACTCCACCCAATACCCTAAACACTGGTCACTGATTCAGACCCCTGAAATAAGCAACAGCTTGCAAATAATCCTGACTTGTTTTTCCTAGAACCTCCCACCTGCAACCCAGGTTAAGTCCCCACTCAGTGGCCAAGCCGAAGCCTCCCTTCCTACAGCAGCGATACTTTCCTTGGGCCTAACTGGGGCTCATGATCCTGCTGAGCTCACTGGTCTCAGGCAATGCCCCGGCCTATCCCTGGAGATGCATTCAGAAGTCACTCCAGCATTTCCATTTCTCCAGTAGGCTGTACCTGGAGCACTAAGACTGTCAAAGTCACTTCTTTAATCCACTTTTAAAAAGTCCTGGGTGGGAATAGGCACGTCTATCAATCAAATTCAAGCAGAAACACGATCCTACTCTCTTCTACCTTTGCCTACAGTCCTCTGAGTTTGGGCAGTATTTTGATGACAGACAAATAGTCTACAAAAATAAACGTCAAGGGCATTTTTGAAATGATAAAAATATGCCATCATTTCTTTGTGAAGATAGAAAGAGAGGGCTTTTCAAAAAGTCAATAAAAACTTGCCTTTTACTTTCCTATATGGTAAGAAACAGCATTTGTTTTGCCCATTCCAATTTCCTGATCAATCCACCTTGATTTATCTACCTAAAACAGAGCTTGGCACTTCCTTTTTGCCAGCCTGGATAAAGTGCAAATTCTTTACCTTGCCTTAGAAGGCCCTGCAAGGTTCTGGTAATGGTTATCTTCCTAAACCTCTCTCACTGAGAGGCTTTACAAACTAACCAGGCTGGTCCCCTCCCTGTTCATCAAACAACTGATATTTTCTGCTAACACACCCTTGCTCATACCCTTGCCTTGTCCCAAAACTCTACCAATCAGAATCCTAGTATTGCCAACAAGTTCAACTTCCTCCTCCTTCAGTCACCATAGCACAGGGGAAAGTGATCGCTCCCTTCCTTCAGTCACCTACAGACACATTTCTCCCTGACGGAAGAATAAGCTGCTAGATGTCAAGAACTAGACCTTGCACTTCTTTGCGCCCTTACAGTGCCCAGCACATAGTAAGTGCCCATTACACATATTTGTTCAATAAATGCACGCATACATTCACACCTGCAGAATATCATCACACTGAACAAATAACAACACCCATTCTTACCAAGGCAAATAAGCAACATGTTTAAAATATCATTTTGACTTGCCCCACAACCTATGAGTAAAGATGAACCAAGCTCACACATCAGTAAGTCACATGACTATGCAGACATTTGATTTACAAAGCAAAGCAAAAAGCCTCTGTTATCAAAGCCCAAAAATGCTTCATCAGCACAAAATCACAATGTGGTAATCCAAGTTAAGGCTCTGTGAATTTTAAACAGCACTGGAGTGACTATAGTCAGTATTCCCTCTCTGAAAACAGTGCACAGATGACTAAAGTGCCCCAAACCTACAGCCCAGAAGAGTTAGGTATTTGTGCTACACGATAAACAGCAAATTGGGACCTGTTATAAAGGCAGAAAGATATTTTAAAAGTAACTTAGCTATTTTAAGCTGTATTAACAGTCCCCAACTACTGAAATATCTAATAAGTATTCATTATTAAGGTAAAAGGAATTATTAAATGGCTACGTATTCACTGCATTCTTAATATACCCAAATATCATGGGGTCCACTAAACAATCCCACCTAACACGTCAAAAATGTATAGTTATTATTTGATTTTTTCAACTGAACAACAACTACATTAGGTCAGACTCCTTGTCTACCCACAACAGAAATCAAGTTTCAGATAGTGAAGAACATTAGGTCTGTTCTTCCAAATGTCAACTCAAAGCTTGGGGACACAAGTACACGATGATGATGACAATGATGATAATGATGACGATGATGACGACAATGATGATGCCAAAGGCAGCAAACACTTTCACCACAGTAAGCCCGTGCCGAGCGTGCTTCTGAGATCCTTACATTGTCAACTTAATCCTCAAAAGAATTCCGAAACAGGGATCAGTACAGTCTCATTTTCCAGATAGGAAACTAAGCCACAGATAGATTAGATAACTTACTCAAGGTCATACACCTGACAGGGTGCAGCACCGGATGTCAAAGTCAGGGATTTCAAAGTCAGAAAGAACCTGACCCAGAGCCCAAGCTCCTCCTGACCGCAGGCATCGTCCCTGCCCCAGTTCACCATGCACATTAACATTCCCCTCATCATCTGGTCCTCCCGGCCTTTCACCCACATTGCTGCCTTTCTACTCCTGTGAAACACGTCTGTTTCAGTTATGGATCAAAGCAGTTTCCTAAGATGCAGAATTCAGAAATATGGGACGTGATTCTTGTAGGTGATTTCAAGCAGGTTCAAAGTTTGAAGAATTCTCAGTTCCTGAGACTGAAATTTCAGTAGTGCTTCATATCTGTGACCTGAAGGGGGAGGGCAGGGACACACTTACTAGTATCTGGAGTTTTCTCTTCAGATCTGCCAAATAAAAACTCGTATTTGGCCTTGGCAACACTCTGGGAATGTGCTGATGCATTGTTACCCCAAACAAATGTCTCTGCCTGCAAAATCAGAACAAAACAGAGGTATGATTAAAAACACATCACACAGCAAACCAACCAAGAAGTTGGCTAAGTAATTATGACTCGATAGAGTGCTATACAGCCACTAAAAAAAAAAAAAAAAAAAGAGAAAAACGTACCCTGGCAGAAATCAGAAGACAAGATGATGACTGTGAGATTACAGCTACACAGGGTCCGGTCCCTTTTTATCACAAACTCTCTCACTACAAAATCCTAAGTGTGCAATTCTGTAACATAACACTATCACACTCAAGCACACCATATGACACTTTAGGTGAAATGTTCAAATAAAACTATAAACCATTACATCCATATTATTACCCTAACGACCACACTCGAGCAGGCCTTACTTCTGCTGGACCCTGTATTTAAAAAGAGAAACACGTGAACACATGTAGGGGATAAGAAGAATATGAAGAGTTTGGCTGGACTGGTAGGCAGAATCACGGCCTAAATTTTTAAAATTAGGTTTATACAACCTTTTCACAATGAGAAAACTGTGTTTAATCTTAGGCACATCATTTTCCAAATAATCACCATTACCGGCAGCCTATGGAAGGAATGTTCCCGCCATGTGTAGGGTCTGCTAAAGTGTGCCAATGAAAAGGAACCTTTCCCAAAAGCGGTCGCATTGTTATTCAATCAGGAACCCCATTCAGCCAAACAAGGCACAGAAGAGCCAGGTATCCTCCTTATTCTAATTGTCCTAAATTTGAGCACCTGTCCCAGTGCCCTTTGGAATTCTTAGAAGTCCCTTATTTCAGAGAAAAACCACAAAGGTGGCTGCGAAAGTGGTTCACACCCTGACTCTGAATTCCTACCACCTTCTTTTTCATTGCTTTAGGCAACTGACAAAAATCAGGAGCGCCTCCCTTCTCCGCTCGGATTAATTAAAAATGAGTAATGAAGTAGAAATCCTAAAACACAAAGCTGACCTTGTCCCATCAGGGAGTCATTTGGACCCAGACATTACCCACACTGGTCCTGACCCTCTAATTTAATGAGACATCTTTCCCAAGTCTGAGCAGCAAATGACCGTTCGCTTTAGGAGAGAGGAATATGAAGAGTTTCGTCAGCAACCAGACAGCCACCTCAGAGAGGGAAACCTTCTGCCACCTTTTCTATCCTTTGGAACAGAAACGACTGGCAGCAGTAAGAAGGCCCGGGACTGGGTTATGATGAACTCCGTCACCCCACCGCAGACAGAATCAGTGGGCAGGCCTCTCTCTGTTCTTGTACACCAATTTCAGACCTATCTTGTACAATTTCGAGATTAGCAATTTCTTGAAATAGCTCTACAATCACTTCATGCCCCTAATGTGTAAAACTCCTCTTTCTGGAAAAGGTGCGCATTCCTCCTGGAGTTACATGCTTGACAATCACAGGTCGTTAATTATCCTTCTCCCCATAGAGAAGCATGTTAATTTTTTGATGTGTTTGGGGAGCTTCAGGCTGGTAAAAGAGGAACTCGGTGCCCTAATTTAAGTAAGGTAGGGAAGGCTCTTTGAGGAACTTTACCTGTAGAGCCGAGAAGAATGAGAGGCTGGGGAAGGACAGAAACATCCATTGAAGCAGAAGGAGGGTCACATGCAATGGCCTTAAAGTATGAAAGAACTAGGCTAACTGAGAGATAGCCAATGGGGCCACAGAACAGCAGGCAAATGGGCAAGTGTGAGGCTGACCAGAGCACAGCACAGCAGGATGTGACCCTGGAGGGGAGCCAGGGGCGAACCACACAGGGTCTACAGGTCAAGGAAAGGTCTGATGGGAAGACTCCAAGTGTTCTAAACGGACAGTGGTTCCTTAACATTTTTTAAAGATCATTTATACTCTAAAAGATTGTAAGATTATTATAGGGGAAAAAGGACTGGAGCAAGTCAAGAGAAGCAGAGACATCAGTTAGGAGTCCGCATGAGAGAGCCTGGAAGCTCGGAGTAGGATAATAGCCATGGAAACAGAAGTGAGTGAATTTGAACTATATTTTGTAGGGAGGATCTACATTAACGTTCTGATAAAGGGGATTTAAGGAATGAAGGAAAGGAAGAAATGAAGGGCAATTATAAGACATAATAACTACTAACCACCTGCTCCAGGCCAGGTGCTGTTCTCATGAGATTCACGGGCTCTCTCATTCAGAGATCCTTCGTGGGTGGGCACTAACACCCCGGTCTCGCCGGCAGAGAAAAGGAGACCACAAGTGGGTAAACCATTTACCCAAGCCGGTAACTTGCAGATCCCAAATTCATATCCTGAATCCGGAACCCACAACCCAAGGAACGACTCCCAGGAACCTGGCTTCAGCAGATGGGAACGTGGACTGAGAAGGGGGAGAGAGAGAAGGAAAATCAGTAATAGCACGAATTTGAGTTTCCAGGTGATTTCCCAATGGCTCAGGAAAAGAGAAAAAAATTCCAAAGAAAAATCCATTACTACGGTGCTGGGGGCCGAAAAAGAGGCAATTGACAAAGCACCAGTTTTAAGAAATTTCAGGAAGATAGTTTTCTGGTGTATAGTCTCAACTAAAGCCTGAGAAGGATTCTCTAAAGGAAGGTTTCCCTTGAGCAAAGGTTTTTAACCTCAGTTCCAAGGGGGTCTGTCCATGGAACTCTGGAATTCTAAGTTAGATGGGGAAAAACAATTCATCTTTACTTTCACTCACCTTAAGCTGAAACTTAGTATTTTTTTCAAATATAAATGTATACAGCAAACCACTGTATTATCATGAGTAACTCTAACTTTGTCACCAGCAGAAGAAATCAGAACCACTTTTGCATCAAATAAGTTACTGCAGGTATTTGGAACTCATATCTGCACTCATTTACACTCATACCTACTTTGAAATGACAGCAGTTACTACACCCACCACTAAACCTTCTTACTGAATTAAAAACTAATATATTACCACATCACAAATTTGTGAAATATTTTGATAGCCAACATAGTCTGTTTCTTTTACAGCTCCATGTATACTGTTGTGTGCACTTAAAAAGCATTAATCTGACAAGAAGCCCGGAGCTTTACCAGGCTATCAAAAGGGGCCACGGCACAACAGAAGATTAAGTGACTATTCAAGAGCGTTGAGACTCAAACTGCGGGTCATGGCCTGTTAGTCACTTGGGTAAGCAGCTGTGTGGGTCATGACCAGATTTTTACATAAGTTTATACACACCCACACATAACAGAATAAAACTGAAAAGAAAAATAAGTAGCACATAGCAACATAAGCATTGTTTTATAAAACTAACTTTGTGTGTATATTAGGACATGACATAAAATGCATTTCTCACCATGTCATGATCAAAACTGTCAGAAACCGCCTGCTCTAGAGTGGTTCTCAAAGTCTGGCGTGAGTGGGTATCACCTGTAGGGCCTGTTACGACACACACAGGGGGCTGGCCCAGAGTTTCTGATTCCTGGGTATGGAGGTGTGGCCTGAGAATTTCTTCTTCTAGCAATTTTGCAGGTGATGCTGATGCTGCTGGTCCAGAGACCAAGATCTGTGGCCCACTGTTCTGGACCAATGTTTTCCATACCTTACTGTACATATGAATCACCTGGGAATCTTGTTAAGCTATAGACTTAGCAGGTCTGGGCAGGAGCGGAGACTCTGTATTCCTAGAAGGTTCCCCAGTGATGCTGGTCCACAGAGCACCCTTGTGCTGAGGCTTGAAAGTGAAGCAGCGTCCGAAGCATATTCAGACTCTCGGAAAAGAGCAACTTAACCAGGAGTAAAATATATACTAAAGGGCTCCAATCTAATAAGTATTCCATACTATGACAATTGTGGGGGACCCGAATTGTGATTCAGGACCACTCAAAGCATTAACATTCTCTGACTTGCCTAATGAAAGAAAATGCATTCTGCTCAAGTGAGTTATTCTTAAAGCTGAGAGCCCCACTGATGTACCCTCTCCCCATGCCAAGGGTTATAAATCTTCACCCATCTTATGGTTTTTGCAGGTCTTCGCGAAATCCTATTTGAAACAGCTTAATAGAAGACCCATATAATTCAGCACTACTTTTTCCTTCTGTAATTACTAATTGAACAAAATATGTTCTTTGGTTTTACCACAGTCATTTCAGAAACATAAATATCATTAATAAATATGGGGTATGAAGTAACATTAGCAAATGGACTACTAGTTGATCCAGATTTAAATCCCAGCTGGGACTTCTACTCAATCACACACTAACGTTTAGGCTTCAGACATTAGCTTGCCTATTGATAAACAGCGCTACTCAAGTTTATCGTAAGGTCCCTTCTGACTCAGAAGCACAAAGACTCTGCACACTACTGAGCCGTCTGCACAGACATTTCATCAAGGAAAAAATAACACAAATCTTTTCCGTGTGGTAAAATTACAGTGACATGATCACCAAAACATGCCTGTACTTAAAGAGCAAGTCAACCATTCATGAACAGGAGAGCCCCGACCAAACAGCTCAGTTGGTTGGACTGTCATCCTATACACCAAGGTTGCAGGTTCGATTCCCGGTCAGGGCACATACTTAGGTTGTGGTTTCGATCCTCCATCAGGGCATATATGGGAAGCAACTGATCAGTGTGTCTGTTTCACATCGATGTTTCTCTCTCTCTCTCACTTGCTCTTTCTCCAAAATCAATAAATATATCCTTGGGTGAGGATCGAAAAAATGAACAGGACATACAAAATCTCGCCCTTACATTTCACATGAATTTGCACTTGCATTATCTAACTCTCAACATGTTACTGATTATAATTACCCATTTTTAGAGAAACAAAAAAAATGCTATTGATGTAAAGTAATTTTTTTAGCTACAGAAAATAAAGAGAAAGAAGAAAGCTGCAAGCAAACACTAAAAGAAACACGGCAGATTTGGGAGGGGAGTAACGGTCAGAGGAGGATGTGATGGAGACCGGCTGAGAGCCCCGTGTGAGGAGGGCAGCGCGCCCCTCCACTCCCTTCTCATTTCAGTGTCAGTACGATGTTCAGAGGAT